GTCAAGATATTCCTTCAATAGATCTTCAGGATCAATACCCATTATAAAATCAGCACACAAACTTATAATTATGAAACGAGATAAATAATAAAATTATAAATTTAATAATTTAAAAATTATGTGCAATAAAGATAAATGGGCTAGGACATAGAAACATAAAAGAATTGTTGAGCACTTCAAACTCGATATTATACATTTCAATTTGATGAAAAATATAGAACAAAAATTATGGTAACATTTTCGTTTGACAAAAGAACATGAATGAACTTTTTCATATTATGCCAAAGAAAATTAATTTTGTTAATATGATATTGTAAATGCATAAAACAATCGTTTCAATTAATTTCCCAAAAATTAGTAAAACGAAAACGATAGTGAACTTGTAATTAGAGCCATGAGATGTACAGAAAATGGAGAAGATAAAATTCGGATTGAGAGTCTACTTCGAAGGAGGATTTGGAGCACATTAACTTCCAATATTTAGCTATATATATGCAACCTAAACTGTGCAATTTGTAGTTTTCATCCTTCTATCCAAAGTACTCAAGTTAACCAGAATACGAATATTAGTAAAGATAATATGTAGCCTTTGCCTCGCCTTATTATATGGAATGGAAAATGATTTTCTTGATTTTTGGATGGTACAATGGAGTTGATGGTTATGCGTGGAAGTGTATAGTGGGGTGGGTAGAGTGGGGCAGGTGGAAGAAGGTGAATTATTTTATCTTTTTTATTTTTATTTCTATTTTTAGAATTTTAACCTATTTTTTGGACTTTTAGTAGAGAAAGTTATTATACAAAATTGCCTCTTGAAATAAAAATAAATAAGGGAAACTACGTTGCAAGCACAAAATTAACGATCCTTCTGGATTGATTTAGTCCAAAAAGATCATTTGTGCAAAAAATAAAAATAAAATAAAAAATAAAAATGAAAAAATGAAAAGGTTTGGAACCATTTGTCACATTTGAAAGGTTTGGACAAAAAATGTAATTTTGGCAAATGTTTGGTACCATTTTCGCCAGTTTCTAATATATTGATCATTGCAAAATTTCAACAACTATCATAATACCAAAGTTGGTCATTTCCATTTCCTACGATATTAAAAAAATTCTTTAGAATGTTTTCTAGTGATCTATATATATTCTCGTCTCAAATTTTCAGAAATGTGTTAACTTGTTATGTATCGAAATCATTGTTGACCTTGAAAATTGGACCTTTCACGTGGTCAATCAATAACTACTACACGTATTCCTCTCTGTGCACAATTAACGCACGATCAGACGCACATGGTCGAGACCAGCGGGGGTGGTGGCGGCCGTATACACTCCGACGGTCAAATTAGGTTTAGGTGGTCGGAATAGTACCCAGGGTTGTGCAAAATAATAATAAGGGGGAAGAGAAAATATATAAACTTGCTATGGAGTGTTATGTAATAAGAGTTTCATTACCTTTGTCTCTTGCCAAACCTTGGATATTTATAGGTGGGATGAACCGTTGGATGTGGGACACGTGTATACATCTGACGGTATGAGGCGTCCGCTCATAGGCGTCAATCAGCCGCGTCTATAGAGTGGGTGGGCAGCTTGTTTTTCCTAGGTTGAATTGATATAAAGTTGATAAGTCACATCAACAAGCCTCATGGAAACGTCAAATCAATTTAAAACTTAGGTGCAGAGAGGATCTTGGCACAAATCTCTTTCTGAAATTGGCGGCGGATCTCCTAATAGGGGTCCACTTGGCCTCGACTTTTGAGGCGAGGAGCTTCGGTCAGTTCATCAGGATCGCCTATACCTCGCAATGTGCTACTAGGTTGTTGACATTCGTGATATCACTTCGGAAACACTTCGGACGAGTGTATATCAGGTCGGAATGTGTGGTGGTGGGCGTTCCGAGGCGGTTCAGATAGGGCGTAACAGTGGTCCCCCCCAAGTCTAGGTATGAATATTTATATCGTGGTGGACTTGCTTTCCTGACCGGATGTATATGTCTCGGTACTGCGGACCGCGACTCGTGGGGGTTTGGGGGTTGATCTTTTGCAGTAATCGAAGCCATGATCTTAGGCAGATGCGCCAAAGTTTTGTTACTGCGTAAGGGAAAAAATAACCGATGTGAGGTCGAAGCGCTACATGAGAGGACGATTAGTAGGAAAAGAGGTTAACGCGACGATCGAGGCGATGACCCAGAGGGGACTCACGTTAGGCGCGTGTAGGCTATGCGAAGTTGAGTGAGGAACTCATCTATCACCGGTGCGCTAACCCACATGGGCCGACGCGTTAGGAGATGACTAAAACTTTGTAAAGTTTGGGAGGGAACGCAGCGTCCGAGGCGATGACCCATAGGGGGCTTCGCGTCAGGTGCGTTCGAACTTTGTAAAGTTGAGTGAGGAACTCATCTACCACCGGTGCGCTGACCTACAGGGCCGACATGTTGGGAATTGGCTAAAACTTTGTAAAGCTTGGGAGGGAACGCAGCGTTCGAGGCGATGACCCACAGGGGACTTCGTGTGAGGTGCGTCCAAACTTTGTAAAGTTGAGTGAATAGCTCGATCCGAGGCGATTCAAACGTCAAATGACT